CAAATTCTCCACTGCATGAGGCAAATGCACTGATTTTTTTCCCTGTTGCTGCTGCTTCTATTTTACAGTGTCCACTTCCCATCAACTCCTTTTGAGTAGCTTCTCTTTGAAGACCAAGTGTCTACCATAGTTCCTTATTGTAATGCTGCTTTCACACATCTTCTGAAAGGCACCTGGGGACTAGAGGTGTTCCCCTACCTGCAGATCCCCCATCTCTCAGATGGGCTGCATCATGGTACTTTTCATGAGTTCCTTTGGGAAATGATTCAATAGCACAGCTGAGATGTGTGATCCAGCCTTGCAAGACAAAATTATTAGTGTGAATTTTTTTCATTTTTTGGCCTCAGAAATTGAGTGAAGAAAAGTAGCTCCAGTCTTAGAAATACCTTGCCTGGTCCAGAGCAAAGTGCAGGGGGGCAGAAAAGTAGCTCATCAAACAATCTCATACAACATCAAAATTTTAAAAATACTGTCATTTTAAATGCACTGAAATTAAATATGAAGTGTTGGAAGTGCAGCTGGCAGGGACAGCTTGTCCTGGTTCAACACAAATAATAGAGAGAGCTTTTTCTTTTGATTGCATCAACAAAGCAAGAGTCTGAAGCTGCAGTGTTTGTATGCATATATTGAAACATGTTCAGTTATACGTTATTTAAAAGTGGGGAAATGTCTTATTTTCAAATACTTACTCCTCCGTGTGTTATTATTTAAAATAAGAGACTATTATTATTCCTCTCACTTCTAGAAAGTTGCTGTATCTTGGTAACAAGAAAAAGGAATATACATAAAATTATTATTTTCACTAAAAGCATTTTAAGAGTTTGGTAGAGTAATTTGTTGATGATGAGTAGTTAGTTTAATGTCAACAATATTTTAAAATATTTCACAACTTAGAACTGATATTTCAGTCTTGAATTTTAAGCAGAATTTTTATGAAATTTGAAAGGCCTGACTTTACTCACAAATACATTACTTCTGTGTAGGAAGGTAAAAATCACCACAGGAAAAGGAAGAAAGCAGATCGTGGTGATGGACCTTTGTCATCAGAATCTGTATCTGAATCGGATCAGACAGAGGAGGTCAGTGAAACCTCAATTTCAGATGTTACAGTGTTTGTAGCTTACTGATTCACCTGAGTAAATGAATGAACTAGCTTAAATTGAGTATATTGTTGAAACTATTCTGCTCTCTATGGGGGAATTTAAGAGTGCAGCACACTCAAAGTTTTTGGTATTTTTATCTTTAATAACAAATTTTAGTAAGAATTGTTTAGTCCACCTTCTATCGTCTACAAGTAATTTTGAATTAATTTTCTTGAAAATATTCAACTTTTTATGGATATTACATTTGGTTTAATTTTTCTTCAGGTGCAAGCAAAAAAGAAGAAAAACAATGAGGAAAAGGAGAAAACAGCAAGTATCCCTCTTACACTGTAGTTTCAGGATATAAATACTCTGTACTTGGTTAATTTCCAATTTCACATTTTTTGCTAATACATATGTTTTATAGCAATAGTCTACTGCCACATGAATCTAAATTAACAGTTTGTCTGTTTACCTGTTGAGGTCACTTTTTTCAATTGTTGAATTAAAGAAGAATTTGTCACTATTTTACCTATATATGATTTGAGATTTATATGTTTAACACTTACGGTAGAATTGTACTCTGTATCAACCTACTAGAACTACTACTACCTGTAGAGTACCGGGTAGGGTAGCAGTTTGCCACACAGACAGACATCAGTGCTGTTCCTTTGTTAATATTGTATGTAATTCCTCTCTTCCACCATGAAAAGGGCCTTAGGACATAATTGCTGCAACATCTGTACCATTATAATTCTACCCTCAACCAAAAAGCTGCCCGCAACCTGTTACTTTTTTCAGTTTTGTTGATTTGTTTCTGTTGATAAAAGTGAAAGGAGGGTTCAGCAGTGATTTATATAGAACCCAAATTTATCACATGTAGCCAAGGCTCCTTATTTAGGAGTATGGTGGTTTTGAGGTCCTAAATGCCCACTCGAGATGTCTGTATAATCTCTCTCCTGTCAGCAGCAGTGTTCCTAATTAGGCATCTCAGTTGTCTAGATAAGTTAGAGCGAAGGGAAGGTTTACATTAGTCACCTAAAAATAACAGCATAGGAGTATCAGTGATACTCAGTACACATTTTTTCATGGAACTTGTTTGTTTTTTCAGAATCATATAAACTGTTTGCCGTAAGATTTCTAGTGATTGATTGTGGGGGGTTTTTTGTAGAAGATGTATATGCGTAAGGAATATGTATAAACATATATATATATGTAAGTGTAAGGATATATATAAAATATGTAAGGAATATGTATAAAATCATGTGCATTTTATACTGATTCTTTCATACATTCTTACATAATGTCACACCTCTTTGAGAATTCCTGTTGAAATTTTGCTTGCAAAAAGACAGGATTGTACATCTCAGCTTCTGAATTACAGTGGATCAGCATATTAGCTTCAGGACTGAATCCAGCAGGGTTAATTTGAGTGTATTTATATTTACAATTGAGATTATAATTGGTTTATTTTAAACAAAGTACAAGTGCTAGAGATTCTAACCAAGTGCAGTTGAACTAGTTAATTTTGCACAGTGAATTTAAGTGCTTTACTTCCAAATCTGTAAATATGCGAGTTATTCCCACATATATAAAACGTCAAGGTGTGTCAAAGCACTTCCATATTACTTTCTCAATAATCTATAAAGCACTGAAAATCATTTAAAAGATCAGGAAAT